TATACTTGCCCATTTTTAATATAATCATCCAATGGTCAATAGTAATTATTCATCAAAGCTATCTTCCCTGATGGAAAACTACATTGCTGCATGGCAGGATCATGGAGCATACAGAACCGTGAGGGCAAACCTGTGGCATGCAGAGCCCTCTCTGTGGGCACGCATGCCATCACCAGCTGCTCTTCTGGTTTTTGTTGTGCACATGTGTAGTAAGTAGCTGGTCTTTGTGGGCACCAGAGCACCAGAAAACAGCCTGAAAAATGGCCCCAAACCAGGGTGTTTTCAGGCCTTTTAGGGTGGTTTTCAGGACCATTTTTGGCCATTTTCAGACCAGTTTGGGGCTGGTTTTCAGGCTGTTTTGGGGCCAAAAATGGCCCCCCAAAAAACAGCCTGAAAAGGGCCAAAAAACCCAAAAGGGCATGTGCACACCAGCCAGCTGGTCTTCGGGTCTCCAGCGCTCTGGAATGGGGCCTTCTCCAATGGAACATTCACAAGCATGCACGCACGTTCCGGTTTGGGCCCTCGGTGCTGAAAAGGTTTGCCATCACTGATATAGAACATTATACTCAAACATTCAAAACTCAAAACATTTTAAATGTCAATTAAAGCAAAAGAAGAGCAAACAAAGAAATAACAAAACCTGGCAAGAGCAGGAAAGTTGAAGAAAGAGACAGAGGGGCTAATTCTGGCTGCACAAGAACAAGCCTTAAAAACAAATGCATATAAAGCCAGAGTTGAGAAGACAAGTTCTGTCTCTGCAAAGAAGCTGAAGAACGGTAGACCACCTAGCCAGCTCTTGCAAGAAGACTGCATTACAAACTAACAAAGGCATGGCAACAGCAGCAGCAGCAACAGTGCATTGGAATATCTGCAAGACTACCATCCATAAAGCCCTTCATGGTAGTGGATCTGGGTACTTGAGAGACCGCCTCCTGCCAATTACCTCCTNTTGTAAACTGCTTAGAGAGGGCTGAAAGCCCTATGAATCGGTATATAAATAAATAAATAAACTGTTTTCTGTGGAATTTCACAATTAAGCCACCTAGCTCTGAACTGTCTACCTTGATGGGAAATGGCTCTCTACAGTTGCAGCTGTTTTCTGGAGAAGTACTGGATTAAACCTAAAAATTCTTGCATGCAAAAAGTGTTCTCCATCACTAGAAAACACTAGCTGAGAATCAAGGCAGCCAAAACTGGGGTAGCTAAAGGTCTGAGGTTGAAACAACAGAGAAGCAACCAGTTTCTTTGCCTTCCACAGCAGGGAGACCAGGCAGAGAGTGGTAGCTAAGCTTAAAAATTAGCACACCAGCCTATCTATAGAAGATCAAAAATGAGAAAGAATGAAAAGAAATAGAAATTCATAGGAATAAAGCATGACATAAATACACAGAAAGCCACAGAAATCTATGAAAATAAGAAACATAGAAACATATACAGATAAAACTTAGAAATATATATATACATGAACAAGAAACAGAAGATAGATTGGTAAGAGTATATAGGAGTTATGGGGAAATCCTGGAAATAAGAGATTGTTTATTTTTCTTTCTTTCTGGAGGTTTTGGTACTATAAAGGGAAACAAACCTCATTTATCTCTGGTCTGTATTACTGTTCTGACCATTAAAAAAATTACCATTAATCAATTGTAAAAGTCAGCTTTACTTGGAACAGTTTACTGTACGTCCTGCAAAAATACCTTTAATTTATTAAACAACATCTGCCTATCCTGGGTCCTTGGGAAGGACTTGATGGGTGGACTAAAATGCCAAATCCAGCAAGACATATTTATAAGCATGGAAAGTCTACTTGAGCACCTATAACCCAGAAGCTGTTAATTTCCTGAGAGATGCTCCAAGACATGCTTGGACGGTCTCATTAAATCCTGCCAATCTGGAAACACAGATCCACCTAATGCATGCATTAACCACTCTCTGTCAACCTGCTTTCTTGGCCTCTCTATACAGTCTTCCCAGATGTTCTGACCCAGGTTCCACAAGAGCATGCAGCAAACTCCTTGTCCCAACAAAAAACCCTTTTATTAATTTATTGTGCACTATTATTGTGCTCATCCACATCCAATAAAG